AGAGAGAGAGAGAGAGAGAGAGAGAGAGAGAGAGAGAGAGAGAGAGAGTGTGTAAATAAATGACAGGGATAATTTAGTTAGTAGAGAGCATGCCTAGAATGTAAGTAGACACTGGTTTAATACCCAGCACTGCGCAAATTGGTTTTGGGACCTGAATCCTGTAATTTCAACACTTAGAAGCTAAAGTCAGGAGGATGAGAAGTCAAACACCGGTCTAGGTTGTAGGAGACAGTCTCAAATAAAACAAAACAAAAAAGAGGCTGGAGAGATGGCTCAGTGGTTAAGAGTTTTTGCTGTTCTTTAGAGGACCAGAGTTTGGTTCCCAGTACCCACATAACTCCAGCTCTGGGAGAAAGGATACCTTCTTCTGGCCTCCAAAGGCACTCACACATACTTACACACATTAATAAAAATAAAATAAAAATTAAGCACACACTGGTATATGTAATTGTCACATAATTGCTTCATTTTCACGACTCTACTTTCTGTCTGCTCTGTGTGGTGCTGATTTAGGAGTTATTTATTATTTACCCAGCCTTAGAGTGGTTAAACTGTGGATAGAGAAATAGATGGAGCTTTGAAAGTTAATTGATATATAGTTGAAGAACGAGAGTATTCTGAGTGCTGAACCTCTGATCCTTTCCCTTCCTCCTCACCACCTGCAGCATGAATATCAGACAATCCGTCATTTTTGTATCTGAGGTGGGGGTGAGTGTTGCCAGGCTGAGACCAGAAGATGCATTGTACGCCCAGTAACAAAGCGCTATTTCTAGAGACAGCTTGCAGGGCCATGAAAATAGCTGTGTGCCACAGAATGTTCTTCAGACAGTTGTTTTTGCTGGGAATTTTTTGCTCACAAAGAAGTGGGGAGTCAGAACTTCAGCATACAGATTTTTCCTCATCCTGCTCAACAAATTCCCAGTTTAGCTGCCAACTCCAGCACACTCACTGCGGCCCAGCACATTTCAAAAAAGAAAGATGGAGGGGAGGGGCAGAGCACACACACACACACACACACACACACACACACATACGGAACACTTTGCCTCAAGGGAGAATGTTTTTCTTGGAGGGGTTTCCACGTTCCAAATCCCTCCAGTCATCTCCTGGAGGGAGACAGGAAGGACTGGAGTTCCATTCACAACACTGAGTAAAATTTGGGGAGCAGTAGCACAGACCTGCAATCCCAGCATTTAGGAGCTAGAGACTGAAGGACAAGGAGACTTCAGAACAGACGTACCCTGCTTTAAAAACAAAATCAATGTCCACATTGTCCCCTCTCTAGAGACAAGCCCACTGTACCATCAAAAATAAGGCCAAGCTTGTTTTTCCAAGCTTGTTACCCTCGTTTGTTTTTGTTTTGAGACAGGTCTTGCAGGTTAGCTTCCTGCCTCAGGCTCCTGAATGCTAAATTACAGGCTTGTGGAATCATGCCTGGTTGTATCAGCATTTTGTGTAATTGACTTTTTCATCAAGGACTGCTGGCTCCCCAATAATGACCTAAAAACATATTATTAATTATGAAGCTCAGCCAGTAGCTTAGGTTTATTACGAACTAGCTCTTACAACTTAGATTAACCCATTTTTATCAAACTATTTTTGTCTCATGGCTTTATTACCTTCACTCTGTACTTTCCTTGCTGTTTCTCTCCATCCGACTGATGCTTCTATCCTTCTTCTTCCCAGTGTCTTCTGTGCCTAGAAATCCTGCCTAGCTATTGGCCATTTAGCTTTTTATTAAACCAATCCGAGTGACATGTCTTCATAGTGTACAGAAAGATTTTTCCACATTTTCCACGTTTTGTCTAAATAAAAAGAAAATGTTTTAACTCTAACATAGTAAAACTATATTCAATAAGAGCAATTATCAAGTTTTGTCTAAATAGAAAGTTCTTATTGTATATAATTTTGTATTAGGCTTAAAACTCTCTTATTTAAACAAAAAGGGGAGGTGCTTTAGGAAATCCTACAGCCATTACCCCTTAAGTTACCTGCCCACTGGGGCATGGCCTCTAATACTGTTTATGCTGATATAAAGCTTGTATCCAGCCTCTTTTCTGGCTGCAGGATTCGGTTGCTGTTTTCTGTTACAGCAGAGGATATTTCTTTGTGAGTCTATCCCTAAATAAATAACCTTCTATTATTTTCAATTCTGAGTTAGTGTGGGATTTCTTTTAAGCATCCATCTTCAGAAGGGTATTAACTTTAACAAGTGAAACAATAAAAACAATTATCAAGTATGACTTACATTACAATATCCAGGCCATTTGATAAACTTAGAGAAAATACTCTATCTTTTCTTGATGAGTCCAAAGTTTTGTGCCTAATTTACTTTCTATTGTAACTAAGGAAAACTATAATTATCTGATCTTCAATTCCATTGAAGACCCTAGAAGGATATACTATTACCTGAGTAAACAGGAAGTGCAGAGCAAACCACTTGCAAAACTAAGAAATGACAGAGATATTTGGCTGCCTGGGCAGCCACTCTGCAATGTTGGGGCATCCATCTTCAGGCTGCAGGCTTAGAATATCTGGTAGCCTTTTCTGTGAATCAACAGTTTTGAAGAACTATCTCACCTTGTTCGGGCAAAGTGTAGCAGTCACTTTCCTGTGTGTCCTGCAGACTATTTCTGCAGACTTTTCTGTGAAGCAGGAATTTTGAAGGACTTTACCTTATCTTGGCAAAGTTCAGCAATCTTTTCCTTCGTGTCCTGATTACCCGGTTTGTACAGCATACTAAGTAGTCAAGACAAGGGAAGTTTCTTATCCAAATGGCTAGTTTTACCACATTGAAAGCAAACTCTAGATGGAGGTCCTTCAATACCCATCATCTTACTTTGAAGTAAATTGGTGCTGCCAGGAACAGACATGTCTCATTGTCATGAAAAGTCCTATGCTAATAAAACATTTTTAAATGCTATATTCTGTAGGTCTTTGAAGTGTTTGAAGACCATCTATCTATTAAAAAATATCTCTGTTTGACCCTGAAAACATATCCACTATGACTACATATTTGATTATTATAGGTGACTACTAACCTGTATTTCTTTATTATAGTTTGTAACAATAATGTTCAAGGATAAGAAATTGACAATACATTGTTAAATGAGTTTTATAGGTACAATAACTTAAACAAAGGTAGAAATGTATATATAGTATGCTCTTACAAAAGTAACTTTAAATTTGTATTGATATATAAAAATACCTTAAACAAGCATAGAACGATATACACAGTATAACAAAATAACATCAAATCTGTATCAATATACAAAAATCCTTACCAATGTAAAATATTTATGACTAGTAGTTGCTTTTTAAACAACTTGTGACCAATTCCTCTAAGCAATAATAAACATCCACAAACCAACAAATGACCAAAAACCATCCACCCCAACTCTTGGGAATGTGGATTTTGGATTCTCTAGACTGCTTCTTGTTGTCTGGGGATACTGGAATCATTGGGGGAACCCCAAGAAAATTAGGATAATGGTCAAGTCCTGACTAGAATAGTCTGTGAGGCTGGACCATCTCAGCTAGTAGCCTTGAAGCTGTTTTGGATACACAACTCTGGGGAAACTGCAATAGAGACACTCTGAGAGGCTGGGTTACTTGGGTCATCCATTTTCATTGGTGTCTAGTCCCTTGCTCTGAAAACACATAAACTTTAAAAGGTGATATACATATCTAAATTAACACAAGTATGGACTGTGCATTGTACACAAGCCAGTTAAAGATGATTTCTTTGTGTTTTATGCTTGAGCAGGTAAAAGGCATCTGTCAACTTTATAAGTCTGTTAGGAAAAAAATCAAACTTTAATATAAACCTCTTTCCATGCCATATGAAAGGATGGCATGTAATAATATGTCATGAGACTTCTGTAGTCAACAAGATTTATCATGTCTCATCTCATCTCAGAGCTGTTCCCCTGTGAAGGGATTAGTTTACATGTCACCTCTTCTGTAGTGTTTTTGGCTTTCTCCCCTATATCTGTAGCTAAGATTCTCAGGAGGTCTTCCCTGATCAAATCTGATCTCTATTAATCTGAGAGCAATCCATGCCCTTTTGTTTCCTATGGAAACAAAAGCTTAACCTCTCCCCCAACACAAGAAAAGCAACTGTCAAACTTTGACAATACATGGTAGGACAGAACTTCAAAAATTTCTGCTTCAAAAAACATCTGTCCGATATTTTAGTCCTCTAGACTGAACATGGATGCTCCAGTGTTGCCAAGGAACCTTGAGTGGCTGTCCAAACAGTCACAAGAAACTGCTTTTCTTGTTTCTTTCAGTTCTGGAAGTTGTTTGTTCTGCACTTCCTATTTATTCAGGAAATATTATTTCTTTCTGAGGTCTTTGGTGGAGTTAAAGACTAGATAGTCACAGTTATAGTTTCCCTTAGTTATAATAGAAGGTAAATTAGGTCAGAGCTTTGGACTCAACAAGATAGAATAAATAATGGAGTGTTTTCTCCAAATATGCCAAATACAAATAGACTGGACATTGTAAATGTAATTCTTACCTGATTATTGCTCTTTTTTAAAAAAATATTTATTTATTTATTTATTTATTTATTTATTTATTTATTATGTATACAATATTCTATCTGTGTGTATGCCTGCAGGCCAGAAGAGGGCACCAGACCTCATTACAGATGGTTGTGAGCCACCATGTGGTTGCTGGGAATTGAACTCAGGACCTCTGGAAGAGCAGCCAGTGCTCCTAACTGCTGAGCCATCTCTCCAGCCCCTGATTATTGCTCTTATTGTTTATAGTTTTATTATGTTAGAATTAAAACCTTTTCTTTTATTTAGACAAAGAGGGGTAAATGAGAAATAATCTTTTTGTACATTGTGAAGATTTGTCACTCAGATTGGTTTAATAAAAACGTGAATGGCCAATAACTAAGCAGGATTTTCAGGACAGTAAGGACACTGGGAAGAAGAAGGGCAGAAATGTGGAGAGTCATGAGACAGAGACAGAGGAGACAGGAAAGTAGCATGAGCAGGGCAGAGTGAAGGTAATAAAGCCACAAGGCAGAAAGTAAATTAATAAAAATAGATTAAGTTATAAGAGCTAGTTAGAAACAAGCCTAAGCTTGTTGTGGGAGTAACTTCCGCTGCCTCAACCAATAGTCGCTGAAATACGAGCCCACAGTGCAGCGGGGAGCGACTTCCGCTCCGTCAGCCAATAGCTGCTGAAATACCAGCCCACTGGGGCGTGGTATATTTCTCTTTTAAAAAGAGAAGCATATCCGGAATAGGCCCTCTTGGTTCCGGCTCTTGGTTCCGGTGCTTGCTCCTGGCTCCTGCTCCTGGCTCCTGCGACTAGGCTCCCTTCCTGACGGTTTATGGTGTATGTAAGTTTTACCCCCCAAAATAAATAACCCCTTAAAACATAACTGGTGTGGGATTGATTCGCCGATATAAGCTATCGACCAAGCTTTCATAATTAATAAGTCTCCATGTTGTGATTTGAGAGCTGGCCAGAGGGACAGAAAAATCTACCTACAATTTTGTAAATCTTAAGGTTGATTCCCTTATTCCACCCACATTACTGTAGCACGGTCTCTGAATAGGGTGCTGGGGAAGTAAGCTGGGTGATGCTCATTCTGCCTTTCAGATCCCTTCTACTGGATCAACCCCGGGGTCCTGCTGCTGATCGCACTTCTGCCTGCACTCCTCCTGCAGATCTCTGTGGGCGTTGTCTTCCTCTTTCTGCAGCACAGACTCAGAGGTATGGGCAGCGGTTGGGTCTGTCGGGATCCTTTCCTGGCCTTCAAGAATTGGTCATCTTTAAGGTGTCTGAGTTCAGAACTACATAACAAGTTTTAGGATCTTGCATTTCCCTGTGAAATAAGACTGACATGTAACAGCCTCATTGTGAAGGAAGAAATTAAGTCCATGGGTGGTTCAGTGAGTTGCTCAAATGGCCAGGCAGTAGAACTCAGCCCTCCACAGACCTTAGCAGCATCATGAAACCAGGAGAGTAGTCTCTTCAAAGTCAGCCAGATCGAAAATACTAGAAAAAAAAATAAATCTTTTTCTCACCTTAAAACCATCTCAAATGTTTGGTTACTTGTTCCTTGGCAAGGAAAAGCCCTCTGCCATCATGGCTGAATAGAACAGGAAAACAGAGCTACGCAGCCTGGGATTCAACTCTATTGTAGAGACCAAGCTATGAGGAAAATTCTTAGGTTCTTCAAGTCTCCGAGTAGGGATAGTGTTTTCCCTCTTAAGCACCTAGGGTAGATGCAGTCACAAAGTAGTGTCTCACTAAATTTCTACTTATTCATTCAAGTGGGGTTTAACTTTATATTTACAATATGGTGATCTACTTGGCCATGTGACCTGAGCAAGGCGTAATAGAAGTAACTTATGGTATAGAGCTGGAAAGACAGCTCAGGGGCCAAAAGTCTGTACTGCTCTTACAGAGGACCCAAGTTCCATCCTCGGCACTCTATGTCAGGCAGCTCAGAACTACTCATAACTTCAGGAGATCTGACCTTTTCTGAATTTCAGGGACACACGTACTCATGTGCATGCTAGTGTGCGTGCACGCATACACACACACCTCACAGAGAGAGAGAATTTAAACTAAAATTAGAAAAAAAAACCATTATGTTGTTTGAGTATCGCTGTATCCTGAGAAATAGTCCTGAAGACTTCGCATTCTTTCTTTTTTTTATAGTTTAATTTATTTAATAATTTAATAATATAAATTAAATTTAATAACTAAATTTAGTTTATTATGTATATAGTATTCTGCCTGCATGTATCTCTGCAGGCCAGAAGAGGGCATCAAGTCTCATTACAGATGACTGTGAGTCACCATGTGGTTTCTGGGAATTGAATTCAGGACCTCTGGAAGAACAAGCAAAGCTCTTAACCACTGAGCCATCTCTCCAGCCTGACTTCTATATTCTTAAAAGCTTTTCTGGAGGTCCTAGCTCTGAAGTGTAGTTGTTTGTATATGCTTAACCAAAGAATAGTGGGCCCTGCTCTTTTAGAAGATCATTCTCTCTAACCAAACAAGCGTTTTGGGGAGGGACACATATGGGGCTGTAAGGAAAGAAGAGAAAGGAACACTCACCTAGCCAGCTGGATCAGCATAAATGACTGTGGCAATCACTGGGGTGACAGACAGCACAGCCAGACTGCCCTCACTCCCAGGCTCTCTGGGGTGACAGACAGACAGACAGCACAGCCAGACTCCC